TTAAGTTAATGGCCTGCTGCGTGGTCTGATAATATTGGGACTGTGCCTTTTTACTTGTCAACCTTGGGGCTTCTCAGCCGCAGCAGGTCTGAGTGAAGAAACACCTCTAGCTCCAGTGGGCTGGGAGCAGGAAGCAGAGCTGGACCCCAAAGTTGAGGGGCTTTCACCCAGGCCCTAGAGTGTGGCACTTTGAACTTGGACTTAAAACCTCCAAATTGTAAGAATAAACTCCTATTTGTTAAGGCCATCCCATTTGTGGTACATTTCTTGTCAGAGCGGCACTAGGTAACCAGAACACTACCCACAGGTTAATGTTTGTTATTACTGATAATGCAGTATTGTGTATGTAACAATATTTACCTCTTGTGCACCTCTGCTGTGTTATTATACTGATCTCCTTTCAGTATATTACCTTTCCCTTTGATCAAATCAATACGTATCTCTTACATAGCTAGCAATTTTCACTTCACTTCCTTCCCATCTCTGACAACCAACAGTTTCCTTCCATGTGTAAACTTTTCCTTGATTTTCTGTAGTAGTGGACTTGTTCATACGTTTTTGTCCTTCTGTGATTGACTTATGCCACTCAGCTTAATATCCTCCAAGTTCATCCATGTCATGAGGTGTTTCATGGATTCTTCATTATTCTTTAGTGTTGCACAGTATTCCATTGTGTGTATGTACCATAGTTTGGATATTTATTCATCCCTTGATGGGCACTTAGGTTGTTTCCATCTTTTTGTGAATAGTGTTGCAATGAACATGGGTGTGCATATATTTGTGTTCCGGCTCTCATTTAGGATATACCTAGTAGAGGCATTGCTGCTAAACAGAAGGCTGGTGGTTCAAACTCATCAGCCACTCCTCGGAAGGAAGATGGGGCAATCTACTTCCACAGTGATACTGCCTCGGAAACCCAAGGAGGGGTCGCTATGAGTTGGGTCTGGCTCAATGGCAAATAACAACAACAACAACAACAAGGATGCACCGTACCATTTTCCAGTGCTGAAACATATTTAGCATCACAACACACAAGCCTCCACTGACAAGACAGGTAGTGGCCGTGCTTGAGGTGCATCGGCTAGTATCGAACCTGGTCTCCAGCATGGAAGGCAAAAAGTCTGCCACTGAGCCACCATTGCCCCGTACATAATACTTGGTCAGTTGTAATTTGGGCTGCATGTCCTTTCCGCCCAACTTATTCTAGGTTTTACAGTTCTTTAGTACATTGCATGTAGTTGAAGCAGGCCTTTGTAACTTTTAAGACATTGGCATAGATAAAGTAACACCCTTGGTGGAAAGTGAAGAATTCTAGATTTAGTAAACTCTAGGGGTGATGGACTAAGGGGAGGAATGTGTACTAAGTGCTTCTTTGTTTCATTAGCTCTACTCCTAAGATCTCTACCATTTGGTCAAACAATCTGACCCTTTCATCTTCATTGGTAGTCAGAGATGTTAAATGCATTGTGAGCAGCTTAAATGTTACCTCTGCAGATCTAAGGACAGTAAAATACTGGAAGATGGTTCTTTTGCATGTCACATCCAGTATCAATCAGGAGGCACTGAATTCCCATCAAAGTTAGGGGGTACTCACCTAATAACTCAAGGAATTTTTTCATACTCTGGGACATCTGAAAAGGCACTATGAGAAGGCTGATTTGGGACCAGACTAGTCCTGAAAGTCTAGTCTAGGCGGCAGTTAGACTGACTCCTGGTGTGATGGCCTAAAGAAGATTGCTGAGTCTCCTCTCCTCTCTCCCCTCATTACCCTATTCTCCACTAGCATTACTGTTACTGCTGCAACAGCTTTCTTTTCTAGTCTCTAGTCTCTCCCTCCTCTATTCTATTTACCATCACTCTATGAAATTTACAAAAAGATCCATTTCATCTGGTAATCCTCAACTAAAAAGAAAACAAAGTTACCCAAACCTTCCAATGTCCTAATGCTTACAATTCCACAGCCTGGAGTTCAAGACATTCCACAATTTGATCTGCTCTTCTAATCGTGTCATCATCATTTACTATCACCACCCTTCGGGGGCCCTTTATTTAAGGCAGGTTGGTTTACCTTCATATATACCATACTCAACTAATTTCCACATTTTGATGACACTGACTTTCTGTGGGGCAAACACTGAGCATATTCAGAGAATTATCTTAATCATACACATCCTTCAAGATCCAAATGAAGTTTGTTCTCTTCAAGGTCTTCCTCTACCATTTCTTGGCTTCCTTTTGCAGTAAACTTTTACTAAACTCACTGTCCATACCATTCATTTTGCTGTTTTGAAATTTAATCTAATTCTCTTATGTTTTTGTCTTTGTCATGTGTGTATCTTACACCAAATAGTAAGCTCTTGGTGCAGGTGTCTCAAGGAATTTCTAGTCCCATTTGTTTTTCAATCAAATTAAAAACCTACTGTCAATTATTCCGATGCACAGCGACACTGAAGTACAGAGTAGAAGTACCCCATGGGATTTCTAAGGCTGTAAATCTTTACGGAAACAGACTGCCACATCTTTCTTCCCCAGAGCAACTGGTGTGTTTGAACTGCTGATCTTTTTAATAGCAGTTGAGCACTTAACCACTGTCCCACCATAATCCATAATTAATTGAACCAGAAGCACTTGTGAATTTTCTTCACATATAAGGATGTCCATCCTACATTAAGGGTAAAATAGAACTATGTTATGGTTGTTGTTGTTGTTATGTGCCGTCGAGTCGGCCCTGACTCATAGCGACCCCTCCTTGGGTTTCCGAGGCAGTATCACTACGGAAGTAGGATTGCCCAACCTTCCTTCCAAGGAGTGGCTGGTGGGTTTGAACTGCCAGCCGTCTGGTTAGCAGGCAAGTGTCTTAGCCACTATGCTACCAGAGCTCCCATATTATGGTAGTATCATATAATAACCTTCAGAATTTACTTCTTACTGATCTTTCCCCATCTACAGCAAAGAAGAGTGAAGAAAATCAAAGACTCATGGAAACATTAGTCCAAAGGACTAATAGATCATGTGAACTCCAGCCTCCATTACCCTGAGACCAGAAGAATTAGATGGTACCCTAGCTACCACTGCTGACTGCTCTGAAGGGATCACAGTAGGAGGTCCTGGTTAGAATGAGAGAAAAATGTGCAACAAAGCTCAAAATAATAATTAAAAAGACCAGGCTTACTGGTCTGATAGAGACTGGTAAAAGCCCCTACAAGCCTGGAACTGAACTCACTCCCATGGCTCAACTTTCAGCCAAATGATAGGCCTATAAAGTAAACATTAACAGCAGGGAGGTATGCACTCCCTAGAACAACCAACCATATGAGATCAAAAGGGCAGCATTTGCTGAGGGATAAAGCTCAGAAAGTAGGAAGGGATAGGAAAGGAAGATGAATGGAAATGGTAAACACAGAGAGGAAGTAAGATGAGTGCTGTTACATTGTGAGAATTGTGATCAATATTATGACTCAAAATAAGTATGAATTGTTAAATGCAAAACCAATCTGTCCTGTAAACTTTCACCCAGATTACAATAAAAAGTTTAAAAATTAAAGAAAAAAATTTAGTTCTGTATATGAATAAATATTTAGCAGTAGAAAGATATACTTTCCTTCCTTGTTTTATTATTTTGTATTTCTAAACTGTACTTTTGAATTCTGTGTTAGAGGACTATGGCCTATTACCTCCAAGTAGAAACTAATGAATTAATTTATGAATACTGAAAATAAGAAAAAAATAAATTTTAATTAATTGTTCTTCTGTGAAAATGGCTTAGAATTCATGTAGTATTTTTAGACTTTAATCTGGACTTGTCAGAGATGTCAAAGGACATCTGGGTCCTTCAGAAGCTGTAGCATCAATACCTAAAAAGTCAGTGGGAAGAGGTTCTGGGGTCAGCAGAATACTCTAATTGAGTACCATGTATTGAGCACAATTATACTAAGCAAGTGACTTGTACAAAGTATTAGTGAAAGCACAACATTCAGCTTTTAAGAGTTAAAGTGGGGAGGTGCTACTGAGTAGTAAAGAAATGCTAAGATGCCAGCCTAGTTTACATTATTTATAGAATGGAGAATGTTCTCAGCTAAGTACCGAAGGGAAAAAAACAAACAAACAAAAAAACCTGGTTCAGAAAGGCAGAACTGCAACCAGAGCCAAGATTTACAAACTCTATGACCACCATGTTCAGATAAGAACAGCAAACATTTATTTATTACAAAGCATATTTCCCAAACTAAAACTTACCTATTAGCACTTTTGTACCATGTTCAGATAAGAACAGCAAACATTTATTTATTACAAAGCATATTTCCCAAACTAAAACTTACCTATTAGCACTTTTGTATCAGTCTGACTTTATTTTTTTAAAGACCTTAAACATGCAGTCTATATAAAAATAAGTAAAATTGCCAAACTTTTAAGAAACCAGATGCTAACGCTGGATGCTATCTATATATTTTTGGACCAATCAATGTTTTTAAGAGATGGAGATACTGGTACTTTTCTAGTAAAAGAAATATTTACACATCTCACCAATAATAGCAGCACAGAGCATCTCATATAAAAACACAATGTCATTAAAAAAGCAAACAGGAATCCTGGAAGAGAAAAGAAACTGTAGTTTGAATAAAATTAACTGTCCCCAGAGACTTTTCCCATTATTGTTTAGGACACAGACAATCCTTCCCATCTGCACCTTACCCCAACAGGTTTGTGTTAATATAAATGTCTAATTGCTAAGTATCAAATTAAAACATTACTTACAATCCTTTCTTAGTTCTACAACTTTCTTCTCTTAGCAAATATCAGTTTCTTAAGATGACTTGCTTTTGTAAGTTCCACAGTGCCAACATATTCCAATTATAAATTTATTATTCACACAATTATTTCATAATTAATAATATAAAACATTTCTCTAAAGGAATTTAATATACATTCAATGTAGCCTAGTTTTGTTACTTTGAAAAAAAAAAAAAAAAGAAAAGAAGCACTCAATTAGTTTTCTGAATTCACTTCTCCAGAAGACCAGTCCTTAAGGATTTCTGGATTCTGGCTATGTTAGCATCCAAAGCTGCAAGGCCATTCCTGAAGTCTTGTTCATCATGAGACGTAAACGTTGATAAAGAAGAGATACTCCAGTCAGACATCAGGTCAGAATTTAAAAAACTACCATCAGAGACAGTATTGCCTTTCATTTCAAGGCTGTTGCTTTGACAAGCTGAGGGGCCACGGCATACAACCTGTTCCTGTGACTCCTCAGTGGTGGCCGGGATCTTACCAATTGCTTCCTTTATTTCCTTGAGGAGCTGCCTGTCTTCCATATCAGCTGTTGTGGGAAGTTTTTCAGGTGCATCTTCTGCTTCCTTTTCTGAAGAGGAACAAACTATAGGTGCACATAGTTTCTTTTCCTTTTCAGAGACAAACCCACCGTTGGTGATTGGCTGGGGTGTAGCTACATTTTTCTGTGGCTGGGGGGATATTCTCTTAGATAGCAGTGAATTCTTTTTAGGGGTGCTTCTAACAAAAGGAATGTAAATTGTATCATCCAAATTACACTCATCCTCTGTCAAAGTCTTAGTTTCGCTCTTCTCTTCAAAACCCTGTTTAGAAATGGCAGAAATAATTCCAGGGGCTGATACTTCCTCCACACTCTTAGTGTTACTATGTTGCAAGACTTTGGCGGGCAGAACATTTTCATAGGGTCTATCTGGCACCATATTTTCCTCATTTTTAACTGTAGAAAGGGGTTCTGAATGTGTAAAAATGTGTTCTGTTTCTAACTTACTTAGGTAGCTCATTATGGAAGTGTGAGTAGGGATCGGGTCATGCCGAAGTTGTTTTTCATGAATGTTCAGAAGTGATTTGGTAAGGTTATTCCCAGGCTTGCAGCAAGCACTGTCCACACTAAGATCTGAGAGAAGCTTTGCCATACTGCTCTGTAAAGTTCTGTTAAGAAGAATTCAGTACACTAATTATTATTATTTTTTTTACCTGTTTCTTTATTTATGTACAACTCATCTTAAAAAAAAAGCAAAGTGCCTGGTGTTTAATTTGGAATCAAGCAATTAAAAGCACAAAATCCTAGAATATGCTTTGGCAAGGTCTATTAAAATAACGAATGATAAAAAGTCGTGGTCAACATCAAATCTAATATTTTATTTAACAACAGAGAATTAGAAATTTTTTTCTTTTAAGATACAAGGATGCTTTATTCTATAGAAACACTGAAAAACAAACCTTAGAGTTAAAAATTTGCCCAACATAGATTGGCTAAGGTACAGAAAAGCAAAATGGAAAATACACAACTTTTTCTTAATGAATTCTGTTAGAAATCAAATTATTTCTGCCCATACATATGAAAAGGACATGTCTAGTGAACAATACTCAGGGAAAAAAGGATGGTTAGAGATAATTATCTGGCATAATTAGTAGTAAGTATCAGCTTAGATACCAGGAAAAATGTAATATGAGGAAAACACACAGGGTTTGAGTTGAGTCAGAAATGGAATCAAATCTTAGCACCATCACTACCTGTGATCTTAGGCAAGTTACTTACTAGCCTTTCTGAATCTCAATTTCCCCAACTGTCAAATGAAGCCACCTACTTCAGAATTACAATGACATTTAAATAAGATAAAATAATAAGATATAAGGGTAAAGTGCTTAACACAAGATTTAGGCTAAATAAATATTCATTTGATGGCAGCTTTCATTAGTAAGTTCTATTAAAGGCATTTAATAACAAGCCTTTATAGTCTTTTTGAATTGAATCACATATGTTCTTACAAATGAGTAAGAAAATGATAAATATCACTTTTAAAAACATACAGAGAACACCAACTGGTAATTCACAGAAAAAGAATTATACTTTTAATTAGAGAAATTCAAACTTAAAGATTTTTTTTTTTCAGCCTAACGAATTCACATAATAAAATAATAATATCTATGGTTAGAGAAGCTTAGAGAGGTAAGTACTGCTACTGGGAGGGAACACTTTCTTAAGAACAGGCAATACATGTCAGAAATCTTAAAGACTTCTCTATCCCACACCATTTACCCCCAAATTTTAATTTTCAGGAATTTAGTCTACTAATCTTACAGAAAGATGTTGTGTCCAAAGTTATATTTACAAATATATTATTTGTAATAGAAAATAGACACAATCTCCATCTTCAACTCCATGAAATTGATTTAGGTAAATTAATGGTATAACTACATCATAACCATATGTAGTCATTTTGTAAAGAATATTTATTGATAGTGAAATAATTATATAAGGCTAAATTAAAAAGAGCAAGCCATAGATAATATGGATATAATATGTTTTTTTATAAAAATAGTCACACATTTATCAGCTACTAAAAGGAAACCTCTATACTAAGTCAGCAGTGATTTTATCTCTGGATATACGAATGAGTGATTTTTTTCCTACAAAAGGAAGCAATTTTTTTTTTCCCCAACTCAACTCATTCTCATCTTAAACATGCTGTGTCTTGATTTCTGATTGCTCTTCAAATGACAATGGCTTATACCACTTCTTTCCATACTTCTTTCAAAAAGGAGCTCTGGTAGCATAGTGGCTAAGACACTTGCCTGCTAACCAGACGTCTGGCGGTTCAAACCCACCAGCCACTCCTTGGAAGGAAGGTTGGGCAATCCTACTTCCGTAGTGATAACTGCCTTGGAACCCAAGGAGGGGTCGCTATGAGTCGGGGCCCACTCGATGGCACATAACAACAACAACAATGAGCTATTATTAAAATAAACATACCAGAGGAAGATATCATTAAAGGAATACTGTAATGAATAATGACTCACTAATTGTAGCGTAGTGCCTAAGGCACTTGACTGCTAACCAGAAGGCTGGCGGTTCAAACCCACCAGCCATTCCTCGGAAGGAAGGTTGGGCAATCTACTTCCGAAGTGATACTGGCTCAGAAACCCAAGGAGGGGTCTTTATGAGTTGGATCCAACTGGACGGCACATAACAACAATAATAATCAGGAGTCACAGGGTGGCAGTTAACATACTCAGCTGCTAACTGGAAGCTTGGAGGTTGGAGTCTACCCAGAGGTACCTCAGAAGAAAGCCCTGACAATGTACTTCTAGAAAATCAGCCGCTCAAAATCCTACGGAGCACAGTTCTGTTCTGACACACAGGAGGCTTTCCTGAGTCAGGAATGACTCAAAAGCAACCTTTTTTAAAAATAAATAAATAAATAAATTTGCTGAGACTATCTATATTGGAATTTTTAGTTTTTACTTTTTTAGCAGAGGAATACTTATATTGAGGTTTCTTCCCAGACTGAAATAGAAATATTACCTTTTCTGTAGACAATATCAGAAATAAAGAAAGGAAAGAAGAGACAATGATATTAATGAAGGCTTAATCTTTGGAAATTAATAGCAATTTTAAGCTTCTGATGTAAACAAAACGTGACTCACCATCATCTTTGAAATTAAAAGAAAACTCTGTAAGCAGAGATGAGAGTATGTCAAATTTTTAGAGGAAGTAATACATACTGTGGACATGTTATCAAGAGGGACCAGTCCGTGGAGAAGGACATCATGCTTGGTAAAGTTGAGGGTCAGTGAAAAAGAGGAAGACCCTCAATAGGACGGATTGATGCAGTGGCTGCCACAGTGGGCTCAAACATAGCAATGACTGTGAGGATGGCACAGGACCAGGCAGTGTTTTGCTCAGTTGTACATAAGGTCACCATGAGTCAGAGCTGACTAGAAGGCACCTAAATACAACAACTAGGTATTTTTTAGGCTATTTATAAAAATATACTCACTTAAATAACTAGCAGCACATATAAAGCACTCTCAGAAATTATTAGAGGAACATTTGCTATTTACAGAAAATACATTAATTTTCTCACATTTTAATAGTTTTATAATATTAGTTGCAGTGAAATCTAAAAGTAATGATAAATATTTTAAAAATATTGATGACTGGAGAAGGAAGAGAAAAATTTATTTGGACATTTCTTTAGACCTTGTATTTGTATGTTCTGGGTCATTAACCCTCCCCAGCTAAGTCTGAAAAAAGCATTTATACATTTTATGAAATGTGTTATTTAAGAGATTTAAAACACGTGTACAAAAAGCATACATCTTTCTGATTGAATGCACTTATGAGTACAGGTAAGAGGAATGGGGATTTATTTGTATTGTCTGAAGCTGCTGCTTTATCCTCTAATGTTAAAAAGTAAAATGAAAGTGGGCACACCAGCCATAATACTAGAGATATTCCCAATGAGATATTGTTGAATTGCACAGGGTCTCACCAAATATACTATAAATCACCAACATGGATGTACGTAGATACTCTGAAGCTCAAAGCAGTGTTTTAAAATTTTTTATTTAAATGACAAAACAAAAATTGCCTTTGATGGGTACACTTAGTTAGCATTTTAAAGTTATTACTGAATTTCAGAAAATGTAGGGGTGGTACTAAACCCAACATAAGACACTGTGCTAAGTCTACTCAGTAAGTTTCTATAACAACTTAGAGAGTCCAGGTACTCTGATTCTCAGGTGAGCTAGCAGTCAAGAGGTAGGCTTTATACCTAGCATAAAAAGAAAAGTACCGAACAATAATTCTTTAGAGTCTTATGGATTAAAAAGTCTGTAACAGTTCAAATATAGTATTTTCTAAAAGCAGGTAGCATATAAGAATTAATGACTTTTTCAGTTCCTATAATTCTATTGTTAGGGTAAATGTTAAGAAAAAGAAGCTTCCAGTTACAAGGAAATATTTATTTATTCCTAATAAACACAGGAAAAGACTTGGTGCTATTTTAAAAGAATGAACAAGTACTGAGTATCATCTACAAAGGTAAAAGAATCCTTTAATAACAGGTCATCTTCACTCAGAATCACTGTCTTTTTCAAAACAGGAAGTTATGTACAGCTGAAGAGGGAATCAGAAGTCCTGGCTCAGGTCCCAGCTCAGGCACCAACTAGCTGAGAAAGCCACGTAAGTCGCTTGATTTCTTTCAGCTTCCATTTATACCCATTTTTTAGAACAGTTACACTTTCACTTACTCTGAAAGACTGTTCTTATGTTTTTGTTATCAACTTTCTTAGTAAATATACCACACATGTTGAATTGCATTTAGTTGAATTTATCTTTAAAGAAAAAAAAAAAAAAGATCTCTGCTACCATTATTGAATATTTTGATCAAAAATTCTATAAAAGAGGTCCAGTCAAAAGGGGGAAAATACAAAACAGAATTCCACATTCTCACAGAATCCAGACTTTCTAGAGTCACTGAGCTGGATGAACCCCCACAACTACTGCCCTGAGATAATCTTTAAACCTTAAACCAAAAATGTTGTCATTGTTGTTATGTGCCATCAAGTTGACTCTGACTCACAGCAACTCTGTATGTAATCTTTATAGGAGCAGACTACCAGGTCTTTTCTCCTGTAGAGCTGCTGGGTGGGTCTGAATCATCACCCTTTTGGTTAGTGGTTAAGCACTTTACTATTGCACCACCAGGGCTCTTTAAACCAAATAATACTTTAGCTTAATTTAGGAGGTCTGGTGGCACTGTGGTTAAAGCACTGGCTGCTAACCAAAAAGTCAGCGGTTCAAACCCACCAAGTACTCCACAGCAAAAGATGAGATAGTCCGCTCCCATAAAGATTTATAGCCTTGGAAACCCTATGGGACAGGTTCTATTCTTTCCTATAGGCTTACAATGAGTCTCAATCATCTTGACGGCAGTGGGGTTTTTTTTTTTTCTTTCTTTCTTTTTAATATGCCTTGAGCATTGTGCTCTTTTAAATAATTATCTATATGGGATATAATTGACAGCAGCAACCTCAAGTATTAGAGAGTAAACAGAAGATTTCAAAGAGCAGCTCAAGAAGACAAATTCAATTATAATGAAATGTGCAAAGACCTGGAGTTAGAAAACCAAAAGGGAAGAATA